CCTCGTTCCGTAAACAGGATCACAGCAATGTGACCTTGACTTGACTTTTCTTCATTGTCCACACCTGTAATGTAAGGGAGTTGGACTGTAGGCCTTTAAGGTTCATTCCATTACTGAGGATCTGTGCGGGATAAGGAGTAAAGTACACAGTTATAGAAGAAAAAAAATGACATCAAGATCAAAATTTCATATTTAGCAATGAAGACGCAATGCAGTATTGTGGAAAGAGTGGAGACCAAGGTATCTGTTTTCTCATCATGAAATTAGGCTTATAATGAATGCCTTGCCCACTTCAGAGACTTTGAAAATCAATCTAGAAAATGGATATGAAAACAGTATCTTATACGTATCTGTACTACCACTAGCAGTTGCAACAGCAAGTGAAATCTCAACATTATGTATACTTGTACATACAAGTAGAATCTTAATACTATGAGTATCATGAGCATTTTCAAGTTGTTTTTGATGCACCAGAATTCAGTTTTATTTATATAACTTTAATTGGTCCTCTGATTTCTCCTTGAAAACCTTTTCTTATTATTAAAAACTGTAATCTATTTTAATGGCACTGACCATGCCTCCAATCAATGCACCTTTATTGTTGATTTATATATTCTAATCAAGCTGGCTTTGTGCTCAGACTTTTATATTCTCTAAAATATTTTTAATGTCTCATATAGTACAATTTGCCCAATAATTATCTTTCAATTAAATATTTTTATTGCTCATTCTTTACTATCTTGTTTAATATATATACATGTCCCATAAAAAGGACTTGATAAAACTTGTAAGTTTTATAAAATAGAAAAATATTAATAGATCAAAGTACAGAAAGGGAAAGAAAATAGGAAAATGAAATCAAATAAAAAATTAGCACTCAGAACTATATACTATAAGGATTATAACGAGAATTTTTCAAAGTATATTCCAAGGAACACTACTTGTATTACATGTTAACAGTTATGAAAACAAACAAAAAAAGATGAGTATAAGTAGGAAGATAGCTAGGTAGGTAGGTAGATAAGAAACACTGAAGTGAACAAAATTAAACAATTCTATTTACAATAATACTTCTCACAGCCTTTAATATTGTAAATCTCTATAAGTAACAGTTAGGATTTTTGTTCCATGTGAAAAAAATCACAGTTTTTTTCAGGAAAACAAAGCTTTTTGTGATACTTAAGCTCAAATATATTTTCTTCCTTAATATTCAAAAGGGAAATTGAGTGGTATAAAGAAAATCCTCAATATCATTTCTTCAATAAATGTAATAGTGTTATGTAGACATGGCAATGTTGCACATATAATTTTCCACCAACTTTATATTTAAATAATGCTTTTTGCAAGATATGTAGGCTTTATAACTATTTTGGAAATTGAATTACAATAAAGTGTAGAGGTAGAAATTTTATTTTTAATTTCTGCATTGTTACTGGCATTGTTTTCTGTTATCTGTTACAGTGTCAACTTGTAGCATATAAAATCACAAAGTCAAAATAATAAATCTAATAGCAAGAGCTAAACTTTCAATTATACCTTTTCATACAGAAACACCTAAAAGGCATAGAGATGGCTCTGTCTTAATACACTTCCTGTTTGAGAGAAAAGGAAACTGGTTGTTGCTATGGTAATTATGATAAAAATTGAAATGGGATGCAAAATAAATTTATAAATTTTATTAAGTGTAGTTTTATTTTTCCATCAGAATTCTTACCTTATCTGTTTGTTAAATTAAAATGGCATTGACATTGCATAATTTACTCAAATTTTAAAAGGATCCCAAACTTAGAACCTTATAAAAGTATATGTGGGTAAATGGGTAGGTATAGCATGTAGATGATATAGATAGATAGTTAGATAGATAGATAGATAGATAGATAGATAGATAGATAGATAGATGATACTTAGATAGACACACAGATAGATATTTCTGTTTGGATCCAATAAGAAAATATGCCATTTGTGATGAAACTCTCATTTCCCAAACAGACATTTTGAAGCATTTTTCCTTCAAATGATTTATTGCTTCTTGATTATTAGAAGCAAAAGAAGTGAAAAATCAGTACAAACCAAATCATTAACATCTTGTTTTATAACATTCCTTTCTAAATATATTAGATAAACATTCAAAATTAGAAATGTATTTTAAGAACTTACTAATGAAGGCATATACAGACTGTAATGCTATGCAGCCATTTCCTACAAAGTATTATTGTGTAAAATACTCCAAAAAATGACTTTGATGAAACTTGAGTAAAATAAAAAGTGTAAATATTTACTTTACCCCTTTTCCAGTAGTTGAGGAGAAGGCTGGAAAAGATTAGAGGAAAGGCCATGTTCCTTTTACAAGAATGTCTTGTGAGGTCTGGCAGAACAAACAATATCAGATAAGGTCAGTCCTTGAGGACTGTGCAGACATGTTATGCCTGTGAAAGATCTTTTAACATATTCAAGAGAGAACAGAGTATTAAACATATTAAATGCTTTGAAAAAATGTACTTAAAACATTGACTTAGAAAAACAGATATCTGCACCTAGGAAAGTATAAAATATGTATAGGCCATTTTAAATGGCAAACTTACTATTTCTAAATTGTAACAGAACTCACTACAGTTATTACCTTTTTACCAAAAAAGTAATTATATATTTTTTAATGTTATTAATATTTTATATGACAATTAATGAAATTACATTCCCTTTTTACATCTGTGTAAAAAGATTTGAGTGATTGATACCAGTGAGATTTAACACAATGAAGTTTGAGCTTTAGAACAGTTAAAAAAATTTTTAAACCAGTTTTTTAAAAGTAAATCATTAAATTGTTTCATCTTTGTTAAGTCATAATTAAGTTAAAGAAAAAATGAGCATAATTAACAAATAATTTTAATATTCAGGATAAAACCCTTGCAAATAAGAGTTTATAATGGAAATTCTAACAGACTTTTAACTGCTGACAACATTGTGTTGTTTGAATTAGCCCCCTAGGACTAAAAGAAAAGGCAACAAGCAATTTATAAGTGAATCTTTCTCTCTTGTGTAACATTATTTGTCCTACTGAAACACTAATTTTCTACGACTTCTTTTGTTAAAATTAAGCCTTTGGGGGAACTTCATAGTTAAGTAATTATATTAAATTTTAAAATAAGGGAGTTATATATTATACTTAGTATCCATCTTGTGTTTTCTCTATAAACATTCATTTTTATAGTATGCACTTAAAGTAATGTAGCTATTAGGTATCATAAGAGTTGACTCCATATCCCATTAAACCAAAATTAGAGAAAAACTTAAGCTAAGGCAGTTTGCTGTTAGAAATCATGAGGAATATATGCTAGAAATTCTTAATTATCAGGTGTTCTAAGAAATTTGAGACAGTGACCCAATTAACACATGCTTTGTTCAAAGAAAAATGTATATTGTATCCTAGCGTTTTACTGTGTTTTACTGTGTGCTCCAGGTACAGGGATTAACATCACAATTGGTGGTGTGGTAGTACTGATAGAAAAGGTCTTAGTGACCATAAGAAAATGCTTTTCAGGGAATCTGAATTGTCTGAATTATTTCCATTAGCCTTTGACTTACAGTTTAACCTAATAAAAAGAATACATGCTTCTTTTGTATAATGGAATAGAACTAACATTTCAACAATCCATGCAAGAGTTTCCATATGGGTGATGTCTTTCCCACTCTGGGTGACAAGCCAAGACGAGGTTTTCTCTAACATGGTTATTATATGGTCAACTGCTTCACTTTCTCATTGGATTTCCGATCATCTGGCTAAGTATTCATTACCGTAGTTGTTAAGTAGGCAGGAAAATAGCATGAAAAACATTGGTTTTGCCTTAAAAGTTTAAACTGAATCTCTGATAATCCAGTTTACTGAAACTTGCAGTAAAATCTAGAAACCTTGCATACATAAATCACCTTTTGGGGTGATTTTTATCAAGTATAATTAATATCAAAATTAAATTTGGTAAAAATATAATACAAAATCATTGATTTGTAATCTATGGTTAACATGAATTAACAGGAAATGGAACTACCTTATGACCCAGCAATTCCACTCTTAGGTATTTATCCAAAAAAACCCAAGACATTAATCCGAAAAAATATATGCCACCCTTATGTTCATTGCAGCGCTATTCACAATAGCTAAGACTTGGAAACAACCGAAATGCCCATCGGTAGACGACTGGATTAAGAAACTGTGGTACATTTACACAATGAAGTATTACTCAGCTATAAAGAAGAAGGAAATAGTACCATTTGCAACAATATGGATGGAACTAGAGAACATTATGCTAAGTGAAATAAGTCAGTCAGAGAAAGACAAATACCATATGACCTCACTTATACGTGGATTCTAAAAAACTGAATAAATGAGAAATGTAAACAAATAGTCTCAGAGACACAGAGGAAAAACTGAGGGTTGCTGGTTGGGAAGGGGTGGGGATGAAGGAGAAGGGGAAGGGATTAGACAATACAAATTGGTAACTACAATATGGCCTCAGGGATAGAAAAGACAGTCTGGGGAATATAATCAATAATGTTGTAAATATTTTTTAGGGGCCAGATGGACTCATGTCTTGTTAGGGAGACCACTTCATAGACGGTGTAGAGGCCTAACCACCACACTGTATTTCTGAAGCTGATGTTGAATAATATTGTATGTCAACTACAATTATATGTACATATAGTCACGGGATGTGGAGTAGAGAGTGGGAATGGAGTCAATGGAATTGTAATAGATAAGTATGATATCGGGGTGGGAGAGCAGTAGATGGGGGAGGGGGGTTGCTACTTTGTGAGGGGTGAAAAGGATAACTATTGCATTGTTCTATACACCTGAAACTAACAATAAAAAGAAAAAGAAAAAAAAATTAAAAATTAAAAAAAAAGAAAATGAATTAACAGTAAATACTTTCAGGATAAAGAGTTATAATATAGAATGTCTAATAAGACTATATTAAACAAAATGCTTCTTTTTCTTTTTTTTATAGCCAATCGGTGCTTTGAACCCCAAGAGAGCAGTGTTTTATGCAGAGCGTTATGAGACGTGGGAAGATGATCAAAGCCCGCCGTACCATTACAACACGCACTATTCAACAGCGGCCTCCACCTTATCCTGGCTGGTTCGAATTGTGAGTATCTTCATTATGTCACAGTTTGCTTCTAATTCCTCAAAGGTTTTAACATAAGCAAATTGAATAAAAATCAAATAGACTCGGTATTTCTTTTAAACAAAGATTAGAAACCAATGAAGTAGAAATGAGAGATTCCAAACTCTAGCAAAACCTGAATGTTTTGGGCCGGCCGAGTGGCTCAGTTGGTTAAGAGCTCGCTCAAGAGTTTGAGCTCTGAGCAACAGCAGTTCAAGTCCCGGCCCGAGCTGAGCAGCCGCTGAGCTGCCAACAGGTGGCAAGATGGCTCAGCTACATTAAAAAAAAAAAATAGAAGAAAACCTGAATCTTTTTTTTTTTTAATGAGTTGCCTCATTTGCAAAATTGGGTTGGGATGATAGATTATTGTGAACTTCTTATGAAAGGAACCAAACTCCTAGGGTGTATCTTTCATATCCATTGTTTCCTTTCGCACTGATTGTCACAAGCTGACACTTTCCCCGGCCGTCTCAGCCTTGCTTCTTGGCCAGTGTATTTTAAAAACAGTGTCTAAATTCTTTTTCTTTTTCCTAAGGTATAAATTTATTCAAGTCTCTTTGATCTTACAAATAAACAAATAAATGTTTCCTTCCAGCCCGCTTCCCCTGACTCTGCAGTTACTCCCCACCGTCCTGTATTACGTAGTGAATGTACAGAAGCACAGCCTCTGCTGCACTGCACTGCCCTGTGCTTGTCTTTGTCACCTCCTTTTCAGCCGTGAGCCTGGTTGGTTTAGGTTCCACATCCATCACTGTACTGAATTTTTCTTATGGAGGTTTAAGTTATGGAGCTAGAGCTTCCAGTTGCATTACTGATATATTCGAACCATTTGACACCACTGCTCACTTTCTCCTTGAAATTATTCCCTCTCATGGCTCCTCTGACAATATCTTCTCCTGGTTTCCCTCTTATCATCCCAACTGCCCTGCCTCGTCTCATGCTCAGGTTCCTTTTTCACAATGTTTCTGTTCCCCAAGATCTTTCCATATACTTTATCTGGGCTATGTCACTCAATTATAAGCCAGTGACATCTAGCTTCCGTCTTTATTGCAGATATTTCTCTTAAGCTCCTGACCTATATTTCATAAATATGTGTATATATTTTATATATCCTACTGGGTATTTCCTACCTGCATGTCTCACCATACCATAAACATCATTTCCAAAACTGGACTCCTTAGCTCTTTCACAAACCTGCTGTGGTTTCTATTGCATTTCCTAGCTCAGTAAATGGCATAATCACTCACCCAGTCACCTGATTTAGGTATTTTTCTCTGTTTTACCAGCCCCTTATATCCAATCAGATGTCACATTAGATTGGTCCTACCAACTACATATCTCTACAATCTATCTCCTTTTCTCTGTTACCCTGGCATTTCCTTAGGTCAGGTTCCCATTATTTTTCATCTAGATTATTGCAAAAGCCCTTAACAAATATCTTTGCCTTTAGTCTTTCTTGCCTTCTCCAATCTAGTCTAGTAAAGAGCAGTTACTGGAGCCAGATGACCTGATTTTTTATTGTTGCTGCTGCTGCTGTTGTTGTTGTTGTTGTTGTTATTATTATTTTTTTTTTACCATAAGCAACCGAGGAGTATTCTAGAATACTAAATCAAATCCCTAGATCAACACAATCAATGTTTTCTCTCCTTACCAAAGTATACTTCAGAGCACTCTGTTGCATGAGGCTGATTTGCCTCAGAAACACATGGTAAAGTGGCATACACGAAAATGTGCACACATGGAGATGCATCGCCTACTTTCAAAGATTGTTTTGTTTCTTCTGCCTAAATGACAGCTTTAGTTTGGAGTCTTCCTCAAGCATTCTCTACATAATGGGGAGAAATTGAACTTACTACAAATATGTATTATGACTGTTTTAAATAACTTGTAATTCACTGATAGGCAATACACTGCAAACAATTCTATTATAAAAAAAGGTTTGTCAGAATTACGATTCCATTTAATTGAACTCAAATTTTATATTTGTCATTATCCTAAACCATCATAAGAAATTTAGATTAATAGTTTGTGAGAAAACAAACCCAAATCTTATTTTAAAAAATAAACTCTGTAATTGTAAACTAAAGGAAAAGGCATAAGACTTTCTTTTATAGACCAAAGTTATTAGTCTAATTTGTTCAAAAATTCACCTTACTTATGTGAACTTGGGTTTTATTACAAATATGTTTCAGAGCTAACGGTTCCCTAAAATATGTTTTTTAACTCTAGCACTTCTAAAGTATAAGAAGTTCTATTCCTTTATTTACTGTTATTTGGGGGGGGGGTTACTAGATTTATATAAGTACCTGTTTACCACTATAAACCAATCAGAACAGAGCACCTTTAGTTTATGGGTTGTAGTAATTTTTAAATAGTCCCCAGACATAGGAAAATACTTTACACTCACAGGAGAGGTAAAAGCTTTTCTAAATTACAGACCCACATATATCGAGAGGGAATTTATAGCATCTATTCTGCAGTTTTAGCCACAGGTCAAAACTGAACACAAAAACACAAAAATTTGCCAGTCAAGATCTCCAGGAGCTAGTGTCCTTTATAACGGAAATAAAACGTATTCTTATTTAATTTAGGCTCACAAATAGGCGGACAAGAAAACAAAATGACTAATAAATTGGATTCTCTGGTCACCAAATGGTCAGACCATAAAACCAAATTCTCAATCATTAGTGCCACCAGTGGGAAATGACTTATTAACTAGGCATGTTATAAATGTTCTAACAAAAAATCAGCAGAGGAGGTAAAAAAGAAAAAACCTAGAGAAAAAGTGTGTCAGTAAAGTTCAAGTTATGTTTGCTGCTTACAATTCACTTTGGAAACCAAGCAAAGGCACACCTGGGCTTAAGCGGCCCTTGAGTTATTCTCCTTCAGCAGCATGGTCTGTTGACTTCACCGCGTTAGTGCACATGGAACTCTCAGAGCAACTTCCAAAACTGGTAGAAAAGGAAACTTTTAGAAAGAATTTCAACCAGAGACATTCAGCCTGGGAGGCTTTTACATATTATCCCATATCCTATCAAGGACAATCATTGCAAACTGACTCTGGGTGATGAACACACAGTCTGATATATATATGATGTATTACAGATTTGTACACCTGAAACCTATGTAATGTTACTACCCATTGTCACCCCAATAAATTTTAATTAAAAAAAAAGGACAATCATTGCTATAGTGAGCCACCGCCATGGGTGGGGGGTGCGAATAAGATGCCTCTCTCAGATATTTGGGGGATTAAAAAAAAGTCAGGAACCATTTCTGAGAAACCATTACCAAGGAGAGTGTTTTTGAGACTTAAACAAGAATATATATATATATATATATATATATATATATGATGTGTCACATATGTATTATATATATGATACTATTTTGAAATACAGAAAGTATTATTCAGTGGTTTTTGTGTAATCAAATTAGTCTGATGTCAGATTTATAAGACTAATTTAAGTGCGAGTCCATAAAAGTACTTGTTGTCAACAGCTTGACTTAATACTCTCCTATTCCTGAGAGTGGAATACAAATTTGAATTTATGCAGGATATGGCAGAAATGCTATGTATGTATATATATATATATATATATATATATATATATATATATATATATATATATATATATCCTACACATGCTCTTTTAGTACTGTCCATAATGTACCAAAGGACAGAAATATAATGCCAGCCACTTATGTAATTTAAAATTTATGGTAGCCACATTTAAGAGTAAAAACAAACAGGTGAAATTAATTTTAATTAATATATTTGTTAGTCCAGTATATCTAAAATGTTATGATTTCAACATGTAACCAATATAAAAATTATTAATGAGATATTTAACTTTGGGGGCAGGGGGTGGTTAACTCTTTGAAATCCAGAATTAATTTTATATGCATCGCATATTCAGTTGGAACTAGCTATATTTCAAGGACTTGGTAGTCACATGTGGCTACTGTAGTGGACAGAACAGATCTATAGACTCTTTTTATGGGGACTCATTTAGCCAACACATCCTGTGTCGTTCTATTGCAAATAGCAGTACCGGTCTAATAGCTTTCTAAGTGTTTAACCTAATGGCCCGGGGAACTGTGATTGCCTCACTCCCATCACAATAGAAGTTTATGAAGTAGAAAATGCATTAAAATTCATGTCACTAAGAATTTGTTCGTAAAAACAAAATGCAGATTAAAGTGTCTGCCCTTTACCTTTCAAGACTTTTAGACCCAAAATCATTAAACTCATTATTAGTTTCAGTCAGTATATTTAGTATGACAATGATAATAATTGCTTTAAAATATGCATTAACTACATACCTCATTACTTTAAATTAAAAATATTATATTAAACAAACCTCCAGTGAAGTCACTGTCTAAATTACAAGACTGAAAAGACTGTTTCCTTGTTAAGCTGCCATTGGGCAAATGATGAATACATGATTTTAGCAGACTTTGGAGTTTCTTCAGATATTAACTAGTATAAAAGGACACATTTTACTTGGAATGTTTTTACATTAAATCTTACTCTGTACATATAACATACACAGAAGTAATTAAATATTACTCTCCAACCTTTACATCCCTTAGTAACCCATTCACCATTTGAATTCAGTATATTCAACTTACCTCTTCAAAACTCATTTGTCAAATATTTAATCATAATCTTTATTTCATTTTATTTATTTATTTATTTATTTTTAAAGATTTTCTTGGGGAGTTGGGGGAGGGGAACAGTGTTGGGGAATCAGGGAAGGGGAACAGACAAGTTGCTGTACTTCTGTTCTTCAGTTTAGTTGTGGAGAACGTTGCTTCACTGGCCCATGTTGGTATTATCATTGCACTCTTCCCGGGTGAGGCAGATTGGTCGTCGGCACTTGGACAGCCACTCATGGTGGCTCATGGCAGCTCACATTGGCTGCCAGCCACTCATGGTAGCTCACAGCAGCCCACTGCAGCCCCACTGCAGCCTACGC